TTTGAAATCAGGAGGTAGCACATAAATAACACAAGAGCAACAGTAGCCTATTTCTGGTTTTAAGTTATGGCCTAACCTTTTTAAGGTCTGTTTTGATTTTTTTTCCTAGCCACTGCTATTTACTCTTTTAGATCAGATTCTAAAAACCATGCCTTTTCTCCTGCTATATCGAGTGCTGAATGCTTTTCCCCTACAGCCGTTTGTGTCCAGTGGTCCAAGAAGGGGAAACCTGCTGAACTTTTCACCTTGTTGAAAAAAGAATGAGTTGGCTGTTGGGGAATTTTGCTGGTAGCAAAATGCAAAGACTGTGATGGTTTTTTCTGCCAGAGGAGTAAAGTTCTTTCTTTTCTTTTCAAGACACTCTTCTGAAATAGCTTCAGGAAGATGCTTTTTGAGTCAGCATGCCCACCTTTGAATTTAATATAAGTATTTCCTTACAGTCAAACATAAAGTAATCCATATTAATTATAGATTTAAATATTAGTTTTCACCTTTACTAACATATTTTGGAGCGGCCCAGCCAGAGACTTGACATCATCAGAGAAAACTGTCTGAAGGGAACCAAAGATTAGACAAATGCAAAAAGGCCTTCCAACCTTAACAAACCTGGAACTTATAATGCGTGTTGGGGTTCATACTTTAAGAAAAACTAATTATTACTTCTTCTAAAAAATAAACCGAGGTAGTAACTCAGTTACTGCTTAATCAAAGTAAGTAGTTACTAAGCAAAGTACCTTTGCATTTACTTTTTATAATCTTAAAAATTAAATTGATTACTGTCCTGAAATTAGATCAGCAATTAAAGGAAGGATATTTAATATCAATTAATAAATAAATCTGGACAGCATTTCTGGAAACATGGCAGCCTATACTAATCTACACCATTCAGGTCTGTGGTAGGCCAAGAAAGCCAAGACATTCAATTGGAATATATTCATGTTGATGTGCTTACTATCTTTAAAGGAGCAACAAGTTAAATTTCACCACTAGTCTGGCTGTTAAGTACTTTCTGTAGACTAAAACAAAATACATCACAAGTGACGCATCACAAACTCCACTTAAGCTGCAACCACATCTTAACATGCCAAACCTGCCTGGCTTTTAAACGGTCGTACAACACAGAGAGAGGGTGTGCAATGTCACATTATATTTTATATAAAAATATACTTTTACTTCTTGAGATAACTTCTTTTATTTCAGTCTAAAATAATGACTTACTCATTTAATGTTTAAAATAAAACAAAAAAAAGCAATA